TGATAAACATCATGAACAAAATATTAACATGATTTTAGGCGGTGAGATATGGTGAACATAAACAAGAAATGACAAATACTTACATAACATCACAAGAAACAACTCATGAACAAACATAAGGAAAGAGACATGCTTAACATTGTGGAAGTTTATGAAGGAAATACTTGAAAACAAACTATCAAAGATAGAATCAAATGAAACATTACAAATAAGTTTGAACAAGTAAACATCCAAAGTGAATCATGGATCATATGAACATGGTAAAGATGAAGCAAAATCCTAAAGAGGATCATTACACATACAAATTATGAATGAGAAGTAAGAACATGTTGAAAACAAGTCAAACCCTAAACCCTAACAAGGTATAAGCATGTTTCACATTTAGGAGTTTATGAAGGAAATACTTAATTAACGAAGTAAGCACAATGAACAAGACACTAAGACATGATTAAGTCAAAGGTTGAAGAGACCAAACTCAAGTGGAAGTACTAATCAAGCATCAAGATATTTCAAATGATCAAGCAAGATTAAACACTAAAGGTACCACTTAAACAAACTATTTAATCAAGGATTTTTTCAAAGAAAATGACAACTAAACATGGTATAAGTCATCAAAGCATACTATAGCCACGCAAACACCTATGATCAATTAAGTCAAAGAATTAATCAAAGAACAATCATTAAAAGACCTAAAAGACACATAAAAGGAACTAGTTCTCAACTTAATAAAAATGGACAAAATAAATATTACTTTTGGTAATTTTTCATGCATTCAAAAAATATAGAGGATAAATGACAAGTGTGCAAAAAATGCGCTCAAAAAGATTAAAAAAAAACATATAGAAATGATTAAAAGAAAATGATAAGAAAATGAAATAAATAAGTGGTAAAAAAAAAGAAGTCTTACTGGCCAAAAGGATTGAACCCGCACACCCTCACCCACAACACAAAACTCTAACCACTGGACCACTGCATGCAAGGTGACAATATAACGCACACACAAAATAATATATGAAGTTCAACATAAAAATGCTTAAATGTAAAATAGCAAAAGGTCTAGGGCGATGGGGATATGAACCCTAGACCTTATGCTTGCTAACACACACAAACCAAACTTCTATCCACCATGGTGCAATGCCAATTCATACATATAATGGCAAGTGAAAAATAAATATGAAACATGTTATTTGAAAGGGAAAAACTTCCCATCACCATCATCTTCTTCCTCCACCATTTTTTTTATTTTTCCTGAGAAATCTAACTTCATCGTTTCTCAATGAATTTAAAAGTTGTAAACATTAAACTTTCTCGGTTTTTCACAAGGGTTCTAATGATCTAACCTAATTTGATTCATTTTTCCTACATCTCAAGTAATCAAAATTAAACTAGTAAGAACCCTAAAATAAAAATTTAATATGAAACTCTATACATCATAGATACACAATAATTAGCACAGGGGAAATGATCAATACATCATATCAAATGCGTTTGTAACTTCAAATGAATGTAAATGATGAACTTACCTATTAGAGCAAGGTCCAATGCGTCTTTCAATAGTTCAAGAAGCAAACAAACGATATCTTTAACACCATTGATCCTTCTTGAAGTTGTAGGTACCTTTGGTTTATTCTGAAATAGTCTGAATCATCCTATCCAAATCCAAGTGCAAGTAACTAGTATTTAAGATGGAGTGAGTGGATGAGGTGTTCCAGTCGTGCAAGATAGTTTTGGTTAGTTCATAATGGATGTATGGAAGGTGTTTTGATGATTGGATTGAAGAATGCTTGACGAAAATGAAAATTTGAAGTTTGAGGTTTAGAAGTTTTGCTACAATGGATTTTTTGTGAAACTCTTGGTGTGTTGAGTTTTGAGGCTTGGCTCTCTATTTATAGAGGTTCTAAATAGTTCATGTAACTTGCATAAATCGTTTTTGGTTCAATTGGAATGCTAGTTTGGCCATTTGGTTTGAAACTGCACAAAAAACCATACTTGGGTCATGATGAAAAGATGGAGTGAAATGGGGAGTTTAGCCATGCTTTTCTGACCTCTAGAGGTTGCTTTTGTGCTTTAAAGATTGTCTGTGGTCTGAGAAAATAACTTGGAAGCTCAATGAAAGAGTTGTTGACAAAATGTGACTTTTATCAAAGTGGATATGGTGCTTTATGCAAATTCATCCCAACATGGTATGTTGAAGTGGACAAAGCCTCAATTCTTTATGAAATGCACCAAAGCTTTGTGTAAATATCAGATTATGGTGAGATTTAGAAGTAAGATGGTCTAGAAAGTGAGATTATGTAGCTTAGGTTAGGATTGAAACATGAAGCTTGCCATGAAAATGACCTATAATTCAGTTTTGGAAGGCCAACTTCATCTCTTCGAAACTCATAGCTCAAGTGTGATAAATTTATGCTCTTGGAATTTTTGGAAAGCTTAAAATGTCCTCTAAAACTTTCATGTTGACAACTTTCCTGGAATCAATTGGGATCATAGTGAAAAATGCCTACAAAGTCAGTCACTTGGCAAGGTCAAAATCTATTGAAAATATCACTAAGTGTTTTTCTTTTAAAGGCAAATGAATCTTCCACTTCATGGCCTTATATCTTTTTATCCATGCATTTTGGAAATCCATCCCTTGTGGAAAAGTTATAGTATGAAGCAAAATCTTCAATTTGATCTTTGGAGCAAAGAAAATGGCTGCTTGTGTCAAAAGTTATGATCTTGAGAAGTTGTGTACTTGATCATGATTTTTGGGGACTTAGAAAAATTTCAATTTCTTCATCTTTGCAAGATATTGTTGCTGTAAAGAAGGAACATTAGATAATATATCTCAAATAATTTTCTATTGTCACAACATTTAGAACTCACCAGAACATAAAAGCCATAAATGTGAGACTAGAAGTTGTAGAACTATGCAGCATATAACTGACCGTGTACAGAGATTTATTTGGAGGAATTCTTGAAAATAAGATGTTAAATGAATACAATTTTTTCATTGCATCAGTAAACCAAAACACATTTTGATTTGCTAAAAACTAAAGGATCATTATGAAGAGAAAATGCTTGAATAATTGTATCAACATACCTAATATAGCCAAGAACCATCCGAGAGCCAAAAATGAAACTGAAAAGCCAAGCCAATGATTTATGCGCCCTATGTTGTCATACAATATTACAGAAAAGTATAAATCAGCTGAGTCGGCTGTACTGCACAATCATAAGAGATGTTTCAGTATGTTAGGGATCGTGGTTCAGATGTTTCAAATAGAATTGCTTAGATAATTTTTTTTATGGACTCAGCATAAACGATGACAAGAAGTGCCTTATAATTATCTGTATCTAACCCCACAAAAAACAAAGTCTGAGAAACCAAGAACACCATCATAAATAATGGGTTGGAGACCTTAAGGTCAATATTCTGAGCCTGATCTCCTGCAAGTGCTTCTCTACTAACTTTGAGCAAAACCATTTGCCACCTGGGCTTGTTAGATCCAGCCATTGGCAAAGCAAATGGAGACATGGATGAAATTCAGAGTTCATAGCAATAAGTAAAAATAACTAATTATGAATATTTCCAAGACACCGCATTTCATTTTCATACAAACATTTCTACAAACAATTAGTCATCAATGACTGAATCCACGTTTACAAAGATATTCACAAAGAAGTTTTGCATAAGAAAATGTAACCTCATATGCAAAGGGAGAGATCTCCTTTATAGGTAGAACATTCTCATTAATCTCATATCTCTAGACTGGAAAAGCTTAGTCACAACAAAGAAAACTTTTGTCGCTTCGGTCTAGCAATAATAATAGCCTTCTTGCTAGTGCAATGTGTGTCCTCATACCGCATATTGATTTTTGACCAAGACCCACCACAGATCTACCACCGGGATATCGCATATCGCTGTAAAATCACTGAAAACGTCGGTGCCGTCTTCCCCCATTCTTGCAAAATAATGTAAAATACTCTAATTCATAGTAATAACATGAACTATTCGTAGCAAAACCTACAAAAAAAGATCAAATAATCTGAAAAAATCGGAAGTGGGAATGGATATAGAGAAGAGAGAGTTGTAGAGAGAGAGAGAGAGAGAGAGAGAGAGAGAGAGAGAGAGAGAGAGAGAGAGAGAGAGAGAGAGAGAGAGAGAGAGAGAGACGTAATAGATTGAGTGAGACAAAGATAAGAAATATTTTTGTTAAATAATTTGTGTGAGAGAGAAAAAAAAGTGAGGTGTCAAATGTGTTGGATTGAAAATCGGAATTAGTTACCAAATAAAACAGAAACAATTTCTTTCAAACTATTTCTTGTATGATCCAGTATAGTTGTTCACAAATTCAAATGAATTGGAATAAAATATCTAACCATATGTTTAGAAAAAGTAGTTTGATTGAAAATAAATAAATTTTAGACACAAAATACCCCTAAAACGATGACTTGGCAAAAATATAAATAAGTGCGAAATAAAAATTTTAACAACATCAAATTTTTTTATATTATAGATTGGTCTTATAATTTAAAAAGAGATAACGGCATATAATCTATATATAAAAATAAATCAAGTTAATTCGGATCATATTTGAAATAAAAAAACAATGTATTTATAAAGATTAATGAATTATGTGTATATTCAAACGATTTTGTAAGTTTAAATCGAATAGAAACAAGTAGAAACGAAAGTCCAAACAGAAAACCGTGTGAATGAAGCTATCACATACGATGAATACGCTACAGCTGCATTGAAGAGTACTAGAGTTGGCAATCTATCACTGTAATAAACCATCAAGCACCGGCCGCGCCAAACACTCTCCCACCCTTTTAGCTAACGACAATCTTTACGTGATTCAACGTCCTAATACCACGTGTAACCTTTTCATTCGTCATACTTTTTCAACCTCTTGCATTCTTAAGCTTCAACTTTCTTCCCCCTTTTCCTCTGTTTCATCACTACTACATAATTTCACTTCTCTTCCTCAGATCTATTTCTAGAATATTCCATAGCCATGGCAGAAAAAGAAAAGGTTAAGCTACCAGATTTTATTCTCATTCTTTCATTCATTATTTTCTTCTTTTTTTTTGTTAGTATAGTGTTGATGAATCCTTCTCTTTGATCAATTTGATTCAGGTCACCACCATAATGAAACTCAAAGTTGATCTTCAGTGCAATAAATGCTACAAAAAAGTCAAGAAAGTTCTATGCAAATTTCCTCGTTAGTCTCTTCTCTCATCACTTTCCTTAATTTTCAGTCATAGATTAACAAATTAATTCAATTTTATTATTAACTTTTTTGTTTGGTTTGGTGTTTGAAATATTTGTGAACAAGAAATTCAAGATACGGTGTTTGATGAGAAGAACAACATGGTAATAATCAAAGTGGTTTGTTGTAGCCCTGAGAAGATCAGAGACAAGATTTGTTGCAAAGGGTGTGGTGTCATCAAAAGCATAGAAATTCTTGAACCTCCTCCACCTCCCATACCCAAACCCAAAGAGCCTGTGAAGCCCAAAGAGCCTGAAAAGCCTAAGGAGCCAGAAAAACCCAAACAACCAGAGAAGCCAAAAGAGCCTGAGAAACCAAAAGAGCCTGAAAAACCCAAGGAGCCTGAGAAGCCAAAAGAATTGCCTCCTCCACCGCCGGCGCCGAAGCCCGAACCACCGAAAGAACCTGCAAAACCACCACCGCAGCCGGAGTACATACCGGGACCGCCACCTTCGATTCCGGTATGTCCTCCACAGATGGTGGTTCCGATCGGGGTATGTTGCGGGTCATGCTATGAAGGTAGGGGAGGTGGGCCATGTTTTCAGGGCTACGGTGGGCCACCACAGGTAAGTTGTTACGATGGGTACTACGGAAGACCGATTTATGATAGTTACGGTGGTGGCAGACCTTGTTATGAATATTTATGTGAAGAAAATGCATCTGGTTGCACAATTATGTGATGATCTCATTTTCCAAATCTGTCACTAGTGACCAAGTGTTGGTTATTCATGCAACCGTCACTACATCACCTAATATTTGTCATTGGTGGTTCATTTTCATCATCAAAATCATGGACAAGTTTTTGTTTTGGTACATGTATACCATGGACTTGGAGGGGATTTTGTATAAGAATAAATAAAAGCATCTTATATAATGTAACAAATATACTAATGCTGTTTTTTAATATGCAATTTGATTGAAAAATGGGTTCATTTGATTTACTAAAAAAAGGATTTACATCGTTGTCTTAAGTCACTTGATAATCAAAATTCAATTAATTGTTGTGCAATAATATTTTATTAAAATTTACTTTTAAGAGGATAATTTTTTTAAAATTTATTTTATAAACATAAATTTTTTATTATAAATATAAACAAATAAGATTTAATTTTACTTTTATAATTTATTAAATTATTAAATCAAAAGGAATATAATTTTTTTATTTGACTATATAATTTTATAATTGAAATTCATTATTTTAAAGATTAAATATTCAAGGTTTAAATTCGTAATTCGGCCTTGATGTCTTTATATATAAATCAATTGAGCTGTATATCTATCAATTCAACTAATTTGATGGGATAGTGATTAATATAATTTAAAAATAAATAAATAATATAAACGTATATATTTATGATTTTAAATTTAGTAACATTAAATAAAAGTTTATAAATATTATAATTATGGTGATGTTTATTTCTTTGAGAATTCAATGGATGGACCTTGCTAAGGGTTTGTTGAATATGTTCAAATATTTGGTTGAAAAATAGAATTTTGGGACCGCACGTCCGCAATCTCCCCACTAAATAATTAATAAATAATTTATTATACTGTTTAATTAGATTAGTATTATGAAAAATTGACAATGACAACCGCATAGGATTATTTGCTTCTACAAAGTTCCTTTCTAATCTACTTATAAAAGAAATTTATATATACGGGTGAGATTTAGGTGATTTTGGGGAGGGAAATATATGGAGAGATTATTTTTAGTGTAAACATAGCAATAGCAATGCTCTTTTCTATATATTTCTCTCATATATTATTCTTGCACATCTTAGTCATTTGTAACGTTAGTCTTTCAATAAAATGTCCTTTAAAAAAAGGTTTTATGTCAAGCCACTATATCTTCACACCTATTATTTTAGCGGAGTGAATGAATGAATAAGAATAATCAACCATCGAGTAAAGGATTTGAGAGTCGTTTATATGAGGGAAAGATATTAGTATTTTTAAAGAAAAACGTCGATAAAATTTTTAAAGAGTGAAATATGATCATGACAATCAAATTCGAGTTTGGAAGTTGCTTATGAGAAAGGAATGTATTAGCACTCCACACATTCATTGTACTCAACGGGGACCTTCTAGTAAATTTTGTGAAAGTGTTTAGTTTAAAAATATTTGAAGTTCTTCTGTTTATTAAAGGACATATTATAAAAAGGAAAAAATTAGTTTTTTTATTAGGGTGCTTGACAAGATGTTGAATCTTACTTCTACGTATTTTCAGATGCGATGGAAAACTCAAAGCTACATAATGTTTTTTGTGTAGAAAATATTTGTTGAGATTGATTTTAGGCGGAAGATGAATAACCGGTTCCTACAAAGTGTACACTAAGGCTCCGATACTCGAGATACAAACAAATATACATTCGTTCACTCCTTTTTAAATATAAACTTATAAAAAAAATTGTGTGGAAGACAAATAATCGGTTCGAGCAAAGTATACACTAAGTCTCCGATACTCGAGAAACAAACGAATATACATTCGCCCACTCCCTTTTTAATCCAAATTACTTATAGACATGTTTTGTGGACAACGAATGTTCAACCAATATGGTGTACGATAATCAATTGTGTATTCGAGAAACAAGTAGATGTTCATCCAACCATTTCATTTTACATTTGATTTTATTAATGAGAAAAAGATTTAAGGTGCGCTCGATTGTGAAAATGATTTGAAATTTATTTGTGAAAGATGATTTTGGTTTTTATTTTAAAAACAAGTATTGAAAATAAAGTTTTCATGGTTATTTAGTAACAATTTAGTGATTTGATTAAAAAATAAAAATAAAAAACTTAAGTAATGAAATAAAAATAAAATCTAGGTTGGGTACAAAAATAAAAGGAGAGGTGTGGCATGGCAAAGACATGGGCTTAAGGCCCAAACCAACCTAATTTAATAATAATAATAATAATAATAATAATAATAATAATAATAATAATAATAATAATAATAATAATAATAATAATAATAATAATAATAATAATAATATTAATAATAATAATAATAATAATAATAATAATAATAATAATAATAATAATAATAATAATAATAATAATACAAAAAAAACATATGTGTGTGTGGAAGGGGGTCTGGCCTCTCTTTATGTATTGATGATTTGTAGCTTTGATTGTGTTTTATGGTTTAATGTGATGTTGGTTTTTGATGGAAGTGGTTGTTTGAATTTTGGTTGGTATGTAGGTGATGAAGAAATTTATGGAAGGTTGATTAGTGATGAGGATAGTGGTTATGAAAATTGGTGAAGGAAAGGTTTAGGGATGGTTTATAATGGTGTTTTGGGGTGTTATATGGTTGGTTGGTGTATTTTGGGGGTTTTAATGGTTTTTAATTAAGACCAATGATCTAAACTGGAGCCCACTCGTTTAGATTTTTTAGCCGTTGGTTTAAGCATAAAGACTTCATGAGTTTTGTGGTGGAAATATGGAACTCATTTCAAGTTAAGGGAATGCAGGCTAATCTTCTTAAATAAAAATTCAAAATTTTGCGCAAAAAGCTCAAAGTTTGGAATGTTTAGGTGTTTGGTTAGTTAGATTTGAGGATCGAGTCGATTGTTAAACAGTTCAATGAGACTCATAATCAGTTATACATTGTTGGTCCATCATCAAAGGAGGAGTTGGTGGTTAGAAGGAAGAAGTTATCTTATGACTTTCCAAAAGATCTTAAGTTGAAGGAAATCATTGTTCATCAAATATTAAGGATAACTTGGTTAAAAGAGGGGGATTTAAACACCACATTCATGAAAAGTTGAAGGAGAGAAGAAGGAACAACTCTATCATTTCGGTTCCTAAAGGAGGGATGGAGATATGAAGATGTGAAAGGTGTGAAGGATGAGGTGAAAAGAATTTTTGAAGATAGATTCTTTGAACGTGGTGGGCGTATACCAGCTATGGACATTTCTTTGTTCAGAAAATTATCTCTTGAAGAGAGTTTGAAGCTTGAAGTCTCGTTTTCTTGCGAAGAAATAAGGAATGTCGTTTGGAATTGTGATGGTTCTAAAATCCCTGGGGCCGGATGGTTTAAATTTTGATTTCATTAAAAAAAAATTAGAGTTTGTTGGAAGCTGATTTGGTTAAGGTCATGAATGAGTTTCACTCGCACGCCAAGTTACCAAAGCAATAACAACTTCGTTTATTGTGCTTGTTCCAAAGGTTCTTAATCCTTAACAGTTGGGTGACTACAGGCTCATATGACTTGTGAGTTATCTTCACAAAATTCGATCCAAAGTGATTGTAGCCAAATTAAGGAGGGTTCTTTCTATGGTTGTTTCTTGCTCTCAAATAGCTTTTATTTCGGGTAAACAGTTGCTTGATGGTGTTCTTGTTCTCAATGAAATCTTGGATTTTGCAAAGAAGACTAGGAAGGATTGTTTGTTGCTGAAAGTCGACTTTGAACTAGCCTACGACTGTGTGAATTAGAATCACTACTAGAAAACTGCATTTTAGCTTCGAATTTAGCGTCGGCCACCGACACCGACACTAATTAGCCTCGGCCAAACCTACGCTATTTAAACACAAAAAAGTCATTTTATAGTTACATTTTACCATTATTTTATTTTATGTAATAGACACGGATGAATCGAGGCTAAATATTAATTTTATTTTTATTATTAAGTAGACACGGATTTACCGAGGCTAAATATTAATTATTTTATTAATGTATTTTTTTATTTAATAGACACGAATTCACCGAGGCTACGATTTACAATATATAAAAAAGTGTTCCAAAGAGGATTCAAACACCAGACATTTAAGATACACATTAATGTTTTAACCAACTAAACTATCAGGTTTAATTGAAATTTTTACTTATTAAATATATTTATTTATTGTTTGTTTCAATAATATCCTAAAATTTATTTTCCCTCTCTTCTTTTTCCTCTTTCCCTCTTTCTTTTCCTACTCCTTTTTCTTTCTCTTACATTTTTCTGAAAATCCTAAACTCTTTCTCCTACAGGTCGGCGTCTCATTACCGACTCACAGACCGGAGAATTTACTCTTTGTAATGGACAGTATTTTAATTTTGAAATGATACTTCAGGTACATAACTTTAATTATTGTCTTGATGTTATTACCATAGTCTTCAGTAACTAAAGACCGTAAGAAGCCAACGTTTGGATTCCAAACATGTGCAGGCTCATATCAAGCAATCAGATCTATGGTCTGGAGTCACAATAACAACTGGATGGTCTCTGGTGATGATGGGGGAGCAATAAAGTAAATATTTAATTTCATATACCATGTGATTTCTTATAAGATTCATATTTACATATATTGAATTAGATTTTGTGTTTAAAGGCACAAATCTAATTATAAATATTGATATTTGTGGGTCAACTTTCTAAGTATTGGCATAACAACATGAACAATGTTAAAGCCAACAAATCTGCTCATAAAGAATCAGTATGTGACTTAAGGTAGATTTTTTTTATATTTTAAAATATTATCTATAAAAATAAATTTTATAACATTGTGTGGAGGAAAGGTGTTGTAATTCTTTCATAAACAGTTTCTGTAGGACATATTTGAAGTTCTGTTCGTGTTCTGATGATACCACAGTTAAAGTTTGGGATTTTGCACGTTGTCAAAAAGAGTGTTCATTAATCGGTAATGTGCTTTGAATGGACCAGATATGAGAATGGGTTTTCTGTCTCTAATCTGT